CAAAATATGACACTGTAGGTATCCAAGAAAGTTCGCATATGAAGGTGGTGGATGGCTCAAACCAACACAGGGCTTGAACCCAGGAGACCGCTTGAGATAGCAGACCCTCATTTGTTTAAGTTGTCACAGTGAGATATGGATATCTATATTTATAAGTGCAAAATGTAGGAAACGTGTTTTATTGATTTTAAACTGATCTTGTTGAGTCAGCCCAGCCAGCAACGCTGAGTTAACACAACAATGTGCAGCAACTTCCAGTTGCAACGCTGCGTCAAGTTGTCAAGATGTTGTGAAGAATGCTTTGCCAGCTGTATGCTTCTCTGCAGGATAAATACACTCTCAGAGCTGACATTTATAAATATCAGAAAGCTGCACCCCCGCACTTCAGGATCACACCCGGAGAGACAAATAAACCTGTGAACACACACACACACACGCTGCATTCATGCAGGCAGTAAGACACACAGACTCAAAGATGCAGTTACATGTCGTACAAACGCATGTGTATGAAAGGCATTTTCAAACAAACACATGCGGGTATGAGAACAGGAAGTGGAAACTCAGATTTACGCACATTAAATATCTCCGGCAGCCTAAACAAACACCTTCCTGTAAGTCCAGTGTTCCCTGAGGAAAGATTAGAAGCTTCGTTAGTTTTACTTCGCCATTTCAGTTGGACTCCTGGGGTCTTATTTTGATGCAGGTGCACATAAGGTGTGGTTACGCACTGGCAAATTGAAATATATTCCTAAGAGACAGGAAGACTTTTTTCTTCTTCTACTCCCTCTGTGGTTTGGTTTACCATGCCCTGAAGTGAGACTGTCCATCATAGAAAATTACAACATTGATCATTTAAAATTACTCATGTTTATTTCACGATGACAGAAAGTGATTGAAAAGTCTTTGGCAGGAGGTTTATGTTGATGGTTAGATGTAAAAAGTCTTTCAACGATGGTTTAAACACCAGAGACGAGGATTCACGTCCACCTTCTAATTCGTCCCTAACGTTAAACAAATGTTACAGTTTCCTAAATATGAAAAACATGCCACTGATGTATCTTCATCGTACTGATGGGGACACTATGATCATCATTTATTGAAGGTATTGTTGTGAATTATGTTTTAGAATCACTGGAATCAAACTATGTTACTGTTACACAAAAATTGAATAAAATAAGAAAATAAATATCAAATAATATACTAATATTATATATAATCTAATTATTTTTTGACTAATATCAGGTATTGATCACCACCAAAATCTTGTCAGCCTTTTGCTCCAGCACCAACAGTATCTGTTGCCCTAACGATGTAGACCTTTGTTATTGATCTTGCTGACAGTGAGAATTATAAAGATTAAAAAGAAGAATTAAAACTGGAAAACATGTAACTGACTGTTTTCTTTAAAAGAAAGGTTAAATTGTAAGAGCCCAGTGTGTATGTGTGTGTGTACTTGTTTATGCAGTGCAGTGTTGTGACAGTCAACTCACATCAAGATCATTGTGATCAAGTGACTGCTGTCCTGCATTTGACCCTGATGTCAGCATATGGACTTTGATGATACTCATCTCTGACACCATGTTTGTGCGTCTGTCTCATACACAGAGAGAGAGAGTGAATAGAAAGGGATAACAGAATTATACACCTTATTTACAGACATGTAAGAATTGTATTTTTATAGTCCACACAGACTGTAGTGTCCCCATGCTGCTTACTGCTATAGGAGTGGACAGTTAGTACTTCACATTCATTATTTACATTATATTGTACATTTCTTTGAGGCATGACAATGATCATATTTCCCTTATTTCCCCTTTGGCTACTACATCTTTATTCTTATAAACACTGTACTCGTCTTTCTTTTTCATGCTTCGATCTCTACATCTTGCCTCAGTCTTAAGTTTTGTTCCTCATTTGCTCTCTTTTTGTCCCCTCGTGTCTCCCCAACCGCCGATACAACAAAGGCAATGATTCACTGTGAGAGGGAAATCAGGAAGGTCACTTTTTGTAGTGACTATATAAGTATGGCTTTGTCAATTGTTCCCAACAATTTCCAAAGCTTATCTGCATAGAAACAATTGTGGGGCAAAGCAAATAGAAACCATCCTCCCCACTTTTATTTATGATCTTAAAATATTGCGTTAATCATTTCTCATACATTTTTTTCCTAAATGTATACAGAACCTTTTTGAAAGAAGCTATTCATATACACATGCAGTTTCATGAATACTGTGTTGTATCCATAACTCAACATATCTTGGCTTATCTACACAGAATATGTCCTGTAAAGTCCACAGAATTGCATCTGAACATTTTCATTTTCTTTTATTTGTAGCAAATTAAAGTGGAAGTTCAAAAAGGCAGGCCTCTCTTACTTAAGCTGCGTCTTTCAGCTTTGTTTTTTTTCTTCACCTTTTGTAAATGTCCAGTTTACAGTTCAGCCTTCCTTTTGAAAGGCCGTATCAAGAGCTAGTGTTGGGTTTTTCTGTTCTGTATGTATCTTGATGACAGCGTGTCAGTGGCAAAACAAACTTTTTTGGGACCTTCCTATCATTAGCTTATGTTGTGGCCATATATCCCTTTTATCAAATATTTTGTGACTGTGAAAGAAATTTAAAAATGGTTTTGGTCAGTTTTAATTGTTTCTTCTAGTGCGACATCCACTGGCAAGGGACTTTTGTATAATTGACATTGTTTCACTCACAAATCCAGTCATGTGATTTATGGCCTTTTTATTATTTTGTGTGCATTACAGTTAGACCTTTCAATGATACTGTAGAAACAGGGAGGTTATACATGGTGGACCCTCCGTAGATAAAAACGGCTCATTACAAGGTAACAAAAGCCCAACAATTCTTATTTTCAGCTGATTATACACTAATGAAATCATACATATGAATATTATATTTCCTTTCTGCCAATAGAGTCCCAGTGGACCTTTAAAAGTTGAGACCTTTTTTGGAGAGTGCGGTTGATTAACTCCATAGCTGAGGTCGGCCCATAACAGTTGTCTTTGTTCTAACGTCAGATTCTGTGGCTCCATCTTTGATGCTCTCTAACGAGAGTAAACATGTGTGAGCTCTTTTTGTGCTGGCATGCTGAGACCTCTAATGAGCGCAGTCCAGCTACAGACATCGACTGATCCAACATTTAGATTCAGTTTAGTTTGTGAATCAGTTCGACTCATTTACTTTAAAGTGAAGTTCAAATGAAAGATTGATTTCGTGAATCGTGAATCATCTCATCAGTAGTTTAGGAACTGGCCAAGTAAAAAAGAAGAACTTCCTCTTCACATCATCCCTTTTACCAACAAAACATTAAAACTGGGCAAACACATTCAAAACCAGAAACAAATTGCTTCACTAAACGTTGTCGTCACGCCATTATGCTATTAAATTACTGGTCTTTGGAATCAGTATTTCAAAGACTATGTCATACTAGTAAAATCATTTGGAAAGGTCTAACTGTAATGACACAAAAATCAATAAAAGGCCATAAATCACATGGACTGGATTTGTGGTGAAACAATTGTCAATTATACAAAGTCCCTTGCCAGTGGGATGTCGCACTAGAAGAAACAAAATTAAAACTGGACCAAAACCATTTTTTAAAATTCTTTTCACAGTCACCAAAATATTTGAGATAAAAGGGATATATGGCCACAACATAAGCTAATGATAGGAAGGTCCCAAAAAAGTTTGTTTTGCCACTGACACGCTGTCATCAAGATAACCTTTTGTTTAACCAGATATAGCCATAAAAAGGCACACCACCAGACGCCACAGACAAAACAGGTAATTTTACCTCACAGACCATCATAACATTGTATAACTTCAAAAAACTGGAAACTAACCAAAACCATCTTTGTTAGTCTTTCAACTGTTCCAACAATCACTAAACTCTGGTTTGGTGGAAAAATATATCCATAAATCACTGATGTAGATGAGAAAAACAGCAGTTTCAGTCGCTCTACTCAGCTGCACACAGAGCAGACCGGCTATGTGACGCCATGACTCCACTACATCTTTACACAGAAGATTGTTGTTTGTTGCTATATTTGTGTTTTACATCTCATATAGCCTTTAAAGCAATCAAGAGACGGAATAATAATTGGCTTTAAGGTTTAAGCAGCTGTGGGCTTTAATTATTTTCTTCACAAAGTAAACACAAGAAAGTTCCCAAAAATCTTCTTGAAAAGAGACAGTGAGTGTGTTTAATTCATAGAGAATTACAGATGGACATGAAGAGACTGTTGGGGTGCACAAGATAGAAATATTAGAATGGAGCAAAAGTGGCTTCAGAGTGATGGACAAGAGAAATGTCAGTAAGATGCTCAGAGAGAGGTGAGAGAGGAGAGGATCAGTGTATGGTTGGAATAAATATGGACACATAAAACAAAGAAAGACTAGATGAGAGAGAGGTCAGGTAAGGTGACAGTGGAAGCAGAATAAAAGCTGAGACATAAGAATGCAGAGGGGGTAAATAAAGAGGGTAGAAGAGGGACGACGAGGAGGAAACAAGAGTAGGGAGAGATGGGAGAAAACTAGAGAAGAGGAAATGGAAGAAAGAAGTAAGGTGGAAAAAAGAGTAGATGAAGGAGGGGAGAGGAAAGAAAGGAATAAAATGAAAGGGAACAAGCTGGGATAGGAAAAAAGTGTAGAGAAGAAACTGAGAGGAATGATGGGAATGTGCCAGAATAAAGAGAGAACTTTACTAGGAACAGAAGGAGGGAGGGAGAAGGAGAGGAAGATTAGATTGAGTGAAAAGTAGAACAGAGGAGAAGAGGAGGAGAAGTGTCTGAGATACAAGTGTAACTAATGTGGGTGAAATCACCAGGCGCCCGCCAGCTACGGCTCAGCTGGGAGATCAGCTAATCTAGCACAGGCTTTTATTAATTAATCAGTTATGAGACAGAGAGAGGGAGGGAGAGAGAGAGAAAGGAAGGAATACGTTAGCAAAAACCAAGAGTCAGGGAGGGAAGAGAGGTGGCATGGGAGGAGAGGGAGAATAAAGGAGTGCATGTGAGACAGAGAGAGGTGCTCTAATATTCCTGACTCCAGGGCTGAGACAGTGACTCAGCTTTCGATTTTAGCAAACAACTCCCCTATGTTCAAAATTATGTATAAGGGAGAGAGGGAAGGAAGGGGGGAGTTAGCGCACAAGGATTTTTTTAAGTCAGTGAGGTGAACAGTAACAGTGCAAACTCACCGTGGTGGAGGTTGTGTAAGGGTCCTTCTGTTTATAGGTGTTTGCATGAACATCACAAAAGACACTTTTCTTTCTCGGATATTCTAGACATTAAACACATCATGAGGTAAAAGCAACATACTGTATGTTCTGTTCTGTTAACATTTGGAAGTATAGTAATAGTGTGTGCATATTAATCTGAATCTGAATATTACAGTAGTGGAAGAAGTATTTAGATTTTTTACTTAAGTAAAAGTATCAATAACTATTTATTCTGTTACAAGTAAAAATCCTGCATTCTAACTTTTACCTAGACCAGTGTGAAGGATTTGGATTTGAGAGACCACTTCTGATAAAAAAGACCTTTTAGCTGGAATAAAACACTGGAAATGTGATACATTTGCCAATATTTTATCACATGAGCTGAACTAATGGCAGTTAATGGACCTTTCCCGTGGAGGACAGTGTGACTTGTCAAACACAGGTGTAACTAATAGCTGCATTTCTTTCCGCCGTGCTGGTACTGTGCATACTGTTTCACTTCCATTAGCTACACACGTGCTTTTTCCTGCTGAAGTAACTTAAAATGTCTGCCATGAAAAAAAGTTAACTTAGCTGCCCAGTCAGCCCTTTTCCCTCTGCTAATATATTATTTCTCTTGAGGTCAATTGAACACAATCAACCCTTTGTTTCTTTGGCAAGTGTCAGTGTTATGATAGTAATGAGGGGTGATCTGAGGAATGTGTGTATGAGGTGCAGGTGGAATCACAACCATGTTTTGTGAGTTATTGAATGTGTACAAATGTCCCAGTTACATCCAGTCCAACATGATAAATCTCTGTGAACATTTGTGATAATTAATTACACATTACACAATTATGACATTTTTCCAAACAGACAGGCTGGCTGTCTATCTCTCTGCTGTCACAGATCACTGATTTACATTGTGGGTAGATGTGTGCAGGCCGTTCCACGTCTGTTACTCTGACATGCCTAAACACAAATCACTTTAATTCACCATTGTTGAAGCCTAACTGTATGTAACGCAACACAATAGACCAAGGTCAACGGTTTACTGGGTCTCTCTCTCTATTTCTGTTCACTGCTTACTGTTGAATTTAGTCTGTGGTGGACATTGTTGCTCTTTGTGTAGAGTGTTTAATGTGCTTTACTTTAATAAACAGTCATTAAAATCATGACTGTGAATCAAACGTGTGTGCGTTTTCTGTCTTACCCCTGTACAGGCCGCATGAGACTGTGGTGCCTCTGGAAGACCCCATTGTTACTGAGGTGACGTCAACGCTACAGGAATGGGCTCTACTATGGAAGCAGCTCTACGTGGTAAGCCTCACACAATATTTGTCTTTAAGTACGTCATGGAACTGCAGTTTTGCTACATCATGCACTGAGGCAAGGGAGCCAAGCACAACAGACTGAGTAATGCAAAGGCAAAAACATAACCAGTCATGCTAAACATAGGTAATTAATTATGCTTATTAATGCTTTAATGAGAAAATCTGTCAACCTGCTTGTCTACATAAGTCTGGTGTTACTATGAGTTATTATAAATAATGAAGTTACAGTCGTAGTATGGTACACCTCTTCATTCATACATTTATACTGAAGGTTCAACATAAACTAATCAGCTCAAAAAGGAAACAAGTCTTATACATTGTGAAGTTTTAGAATTATTTTAACCCGCACAACAAGTTTCCCACCAATAACTGAAACTGCATATAGTTAAAGTTAAAGTTAAACAATCTGTTTACATTATAGCATGGTAACTTACACTGCACAGATATATCCTGCTGATACTCCTGGATCTTCAGTGCTCTTCCTGGAATCATCAGTTGTTGAATCAGCCACGTAGCCGACATTCTCTGACCCTCGGCACTTACAGAGGCCAGTTCACACCGAGGTTCCGATAAAAGTGAAAATAAATCCACTTAAACACAATATTGATTGAATGCTGGGTAAACAAGAGGAAAGAAACCAAGAAAAAATAAACAAACAAGTTCTGGATTGCATACTGTTTGATTGTGTTATGGCTCAGGCCATGGGAACAGACATAACTATCACAACTCTTAGGGAAAGAGATGTGTGACAGCCAGTTTAGTGGGAGGGTTTTAAACTGTTAAAGAAAGATCATAAGATCCAAAATTAAGTTAGATTTTTTGGTAAACCCTTAGAAGAATATTTGATCTTTTCCAGCCTGAGGAAGAGTATCAAATCACTTTAGGTGGGTGAGAAAATGTCCACTCCAATAGGATCCTTCTCCTGGCTGTAAGGGAGGCAAAAGCAATTGCATCTTTTTTGCTATTTGTCAGAGATATGTTGTCAGCTAGGACCCCAAAGACGGCTTTCTTGACTGTAGGTTGTAGATCAATAATAAACACCTCAGACAGGGTTCGCAGCACAGAAAGCCCAGAGCGCTGCTAGTTTAGAGCAGCGCCAGAACATGTGAGCTGCCTCTGCAGTGTAACATCTGTCATCATATATCACTCGAATGCAGTTTAGATAGTCTGGCCTTACAGAAATGCATACAGTGTAAGACTTTGAAATGTAGTCTAGAGTTAGTTTACTTATAAGAAATACAAACTAGAGCCTATATTCAGTGGATATGGGGTGTGGGGTGTGGGGAGATGGTCTTTGAAACATTAAGACTTCGCATTCATGCCAGTTACTTGGTTGAACCTGGTTGTTAAAAGGAAGTCATCTTTTCCTTCCAATTTGGCTGCACTGTAGTGGTAATCTTCATAAATTTATGAGCCTTTCTACTGGTAGGATGTTTTTGACAATCAGATGCAGACTTTGTGTAAATGGATCTGTAAAGTTTCAAAAGAACTTTATAGTTTGCTCAGTTACTGTAGCCTCACTGGTTCTTGCTGGCGTGTGGTGTTTCCACTCACACACTAAGATTTAGACAGAGACGGCTGAGATGTTTTGCACAAATGGAAAAAAAAACACTGATTCCTTTGCTCTCAGTCTCCCCTCAGATATGTAAAGTATCTCACATTTGCTTCAAGCGTTCATTTCTTAAGTTCATGCTGAGAGACTGGCAGCATTATGTCTCTACTCCTCACACAGAATGATGCCATTAAGTTTGTTTTTACTTTGCACTTCAAGCTGTGTGTGTGTGTCTGTGTGTCTGTGTGTGTGTTTTGCAGTTTATTCCAGTGTCAGAGATGCCCTTTAACACTTTCAGACAGCCTGGTAAAGAGCGGAAAATGTACCACAGGTTGTGTGTTTCTATCTTTCTGTCTATGTTTTGTTTGCAGGTTTTTTTTAACAGTTTAAACCTCCGGGTCTTCACCTTTTCTTTTCCTTTTCACTGTGTTTTATTGAGTTGAGCCTGTCGACCATAAAAAAAATAAATAAAGAAATTTAGTTTCCTTACCAGCTGAACAGTGGTGCACTTTATTTACATTTAAAATGTACTATATTATACACTTGTGCAAGTTAAAATGTTATTTTGCTCATTAGCTTATCATTTATATACACGCATTCTTCATTTATTAAAACAAATAATCACCATTATTGTGTGAACTCAGGGTCATCTACTTCACTGGTTCCCAACACTTGGGGTCACCAAAGCTTCACAGGGATTGTGAGGCCGTCTTGATTTTAGGCGTGTAAGAATTATTCATTAATTAGAATATTATTTTTAAGTTTAAATTATTATTTAGTATTTATAAAGGATAAGGACACATGAATACAAGCTATATTCACTGAGCCTGCACTCTCTGAAAAACAGCCTCATCCTGTGTTAGAAAAGTTAAAACAACCAAAGAGCTAATCGAAAAATGAGAAGAAAACACACCACACAGTCTATTAAATATGTATGATTGCTAAAAAGTTAAGAATACATAATACAGACAGGGAATTGTATAAAAGGTTCCTAAAATATTAGGAAAACTCATCACAGGAAATAATCTTAAATTTAAAATGTTTACACAGCAGTAATGTGGAGTTATTACATCCTCTACAAAAACCTCTTGTTGTCTTCATGAGTTCAGGCCCTCAAGAAGAGATTAAATCTACTTCTTTGGGACTCGAGCTGAAAATGATTTTAGCAGTAAGTGATAATACTGATCTTTGATTGTAAAGGACATAATAGAAGAGCTTACAGTCAGACTGTGTGAAGATGTGGAGGCTGAAAGTTACTCTGACCTGTCTGTCACTCAGATTTGTGGTGTTACTGTCTGTCTCTCTCTTACAGGCTTTTATTACTCTCTCTACCTGCTCTGTCCATAATTTCTTACCTTTATTAGTTCTCTGTGGGTATTCATTTGTACTGTATGCCATCTGTCTGTGTATTTGCCTTTTTATCTTAAAGCTCTTGAGTTATTGTCTGTCACTATATATGCTTTTATTGGATATCCATCTATATGTAAATGTATAGAGAGATAACTATTGTGTGATTTAAATCTAAATCCGTCTCTGTCCTCATTTTGCTGTCTGTTGTCTCTGATGGTTCTCATATTCCGCCTGTCCTGCCAGTCTTCTGTTGTTGCTCTCTGTGTTTTTATTCAGAGTTAACAGACTCTTGTCTCTGCTCTCTGCCACAGTTGAAAGACAAAACCGTCTTTGTGAGGTTCTGCACGACAGATTTTCCATTTCCATCCTGACAGACCTTACATTAGTGTGTGTGTGTATGTGCGTGTGTGTGTGTGTGTGTGTGTGTGTGTGTGTGTGTTTTGTCACTGAAAAAGCAAATGTGCTCCTATTTACTGTTACTGTATCCAGCAATGAGAAATGATCATGTTTTGCGTGGATGGATGAAGGGGTAGATAGAGGGGTAGATGGAGTGATGTACATGCATAAGGAATGAATGACTTACATTTTGCAACACAGTGTGCTTTTGGATAGTACATGTGTATGTTAATAAGAAATAATAGCACAATAAACTAACAATGAGAAGAAGAGACAGAGGGATGAAAGAAGCTGATATAATACAGTTTTAAACAGATGCAACAAGTATTATATGAGCACTGTGGAGTCAGATAAGCAGCAGCTCCAAGTGATCTTCTCGTCTGTTAGAAGATTTTTTCATGTGATATCAAGCAAATGCTTAAAAAATATGTGTCATAATTTAGATTTCTATGATTATATCTGTGTTGTTGAAAGCAAATCTCAAGGAAATATTTTTGCTATGAGGCGGCTAAACTTCTCCCTCGTAGCAAATGAGGTGATGAGAGTTCACCTGTTGTCTATCTCCACTGTCCTTGTGCTTAAATTCAAACGGTTAATCATCAAAATTGGTTGTTCTATGATTCACAAGTTTCATGTTGCATAGCTTGCACTGCACGTTCATTTCTTCAAGTTTTTTTAATATATACTTCCAAACATCACTTTCATGGCTGGTCTTTCATGTGTAACTGAAAGCGTTGAATGAACACTGACAACCAAACGAGTACTTGAGTATTTAGGGTCATCCATACTTAATTACCACACTCCCTGTCAGTGAATCACACAAATGCAGGAATGGATGCACACAACATGCAAAAAGTCCAGCCCTCTCTCTCTCTCTCTCTCTC